GTATAAATTTGTAAATCACTTTTCTTTCCATATTTATAGCAACAATCTTTGATAAATCTTTTCACCTGAAGACCATGAGATGGAAAGTAGCCTTTTCCAAGGGCTTTAAGGAGTCATGCTCACTGTACACAGGCCATCCTTAAATCTGATCTTTGGCAGAGTACTGATTAGAGAAACGGGAAAAAAACGTTCATACTTCAACAAAGCAGCAGCTTTTTGGGTCTCCACTCAGAAATTTAAGCAATAGTTAATGTAATTGCAGCACTGTATTTCAATAAACTCTGAATTATGTGATTAAATGCCCAAATAGTCAATGTTTAGAGGAATGCTGGGTGAGTGGATCTCATGTCTGTAATGAAGATTCTCCTGCCAGTGTCAGAAACCTCCTCCCAACAGTTCATGCACTCAGTCATGTCCCAATAGGAGCAGCTCCTGCACCCTTCAAGCAGAGTGGGAGCACTGAACAGCCAATCCCAGGTGCAAGAGGAGATCCAAGGGGAAAGCCATGACTACTTGCTAAGGTAGGGGGGTGGGAAGGTTAAAGAGATGAACATGGGAGGAAAACCAACACAGTGCAGAAGCTGCTGAAAGGCCTCTGAAAGCACTGGCACAAACACAATGTGCACACTCCCATGAATGACAGTAATACACTCTTTTTCTACTCTTGTGACTTCAGGGGGACTTTGTGCACTGACCTCACAGCTGTTCCATAAGATGGGAATCCACCCTCCTAAAGGGGAAAACCTCAACATCTGGCAACTTAGCCTGGCTCCACACACAACTGACCTCTGCAGGATCAGGATCTATCATCAGGCACATTTCAGGATGTGTTGAAATAACAATAAACTTTCCTAATATTCTGCAGTGTCTATTTGAGGACTCATCCTCTCAGTAGAGCTTAATTAATATTCTTGTGTGTTCAACAGCCCCACTAATATTCAGACAGAACTCTGAAAAGTCCAAGGACAATAAGGAAAATACAATACAATCTTCCAGTAAACTGATCAATACTTGCCAAAAATACTTGTCTGCAAAAGAAAAATGCTACATGGAAGCTGCTGCAAAGCTATCAGTGTAACTTCAAGCAGAACACGCCTTTTCCTGTCTTCTATAATCTGATCTAGCAGACATGTCACAGAAAAAGCTGTGATCCAGAGGTGAGGGCATATCCTATAATCCTTATTGTGTCATCTGTGCCTGCAGCTCTATGCAAATATGGACAAAAAGAAAGTGTCATCTCACATCTCTGCAGCTTTCTGGCTTTAAAATACCCAACAACATTGCCTTAAACTGCAAGTAGGGCATTAAGTATCTGTCTGAAGATCAACAGCTGCTGGTAACAAAGATCAAAACCCACCCAAAAGTTACCTTCAACAAGAACAAACCCTGAACACATTCAAAGCTTATCACACATCTGAGCAAGTTGGCTCTCATCACACTCTTCCATTCTCAGAGAACAATGAGACTCCTGGAAAATACTTCAAAATGCTTCTCTGTTAACAGCTCTCAGAGCAAGTTCAAGAAATGACTGACATGAGAGGAGGTACAAGGCTCCTCTTACTCACAAGGGCCCTGCTCAGTGTTCCACAGCACCAAAGGCTGCTCCAGGAGAACAGCAAATCCTTAGAGCACACACTGAAAGCTCAGCAGCACAAACAGAACAAGCAGGAAATGCTCAGGTAAGTGTGCTGCAGAACTGACAGAATGGCTGTGTTTATCTAAGTCACTTCAGATTTTTACAGGAAACCAAGCACTGAGGGGAAATGTGAAATGTTAATGAGGTGCCAGGTGCTGGGCTGATTCAGACTCAATGTGTAACTCACCCCTGCACCCTCCTGAGAGGCCAGAGGAGGAACCAGCCTGGGGGATGCAGGAGAGGAGCCTGAGGATGACCAGAACCTCCAGTGTGAGTTACAGAACTGCCTCAGCTGCAGAGCCAGCAGCTGCCTGTGCTAGCAGAGCACCTGAATGAGGCTGGTTTGCAATAAAATGTAATAAAATTATAACATCAACCACCTGGGAAGCACTGAAGTGGCACATATTGCACTAAGCTGTAATTAGCTGTTTCCAGGTTTAAAGCAGTACACAAGCATGACCTAATGAATTTTCATAAATGCTGCTGCTAGTGGCCAGAAGGCCCCTATTTTTATACCAAGGAAAATAAATCATATTGGCTATCCCATGACCACTTGAGTTAACAAAATGAGGAAGGACACTCCAGTGAACTAGACATGGAAATGCTGATTCCTAATTCCATTAAAATACAACCAAGCTCTTTTTTTTTTTTTTTTGCTGCTATAAAAAGATCTCATTGTTTCCTTAGGCTCCCAACATCATCAGTAAAAGATCCTGGAGAAAAACAAAAAAGCAAGAGCAGCTTTACAAGCCCTCACAAACGTACATATGCATTGAAGTTTTAACCATAATCTTGCAGAAATCTCAATTTTAAACCCTTTTTCTCTGTACTTCCTACCTGCCCAAGTTACAAATGGCTTCTACACTACACATTCTTGCTGCCTTTCCTCCAGAATTTAGATGTAAATTTTGACATTTTCACTGCTTACCCACTGCTCCATTTTCCATTTGCTCACCTCTCCCTCTGTCCCAAAGTGTCCTATTCCCATGGCAAACACTTCCCCACTGTTTCTGCCTGTGCTCTCTTAGTATGAGCCATGGTTTTCAGTCCAGTGAAAAGTTAAACTCACTCAACAGTCTGAAAAGAAGTTAGAGCAGATACAGCCCAATAATGATCCTCTTCCACATCACTCCAGACTTTACACTATTTATTTTTGTGCCACTTTTCCCTCTCTCCTACTCATCTAATCGCTGCTGCTATCTCTCATCATATTTTTTTTTTTTGCCACAAGCAGCTAAACTGGAAGCAGAACAGTATTTTCCTCTTTTTCCCCATTCTACAGTGTTAGAAGTTTTTAGTCTGGAGCCTTCACTCAAGAGTCAGTCGTTGACACGCCTGAACTGTCTGTGTCCCTCCCAACTTCCCCCTGCTCTACCTCCTGACAGGGACACGCCTGTCACTCCCTCCTTAACCATTTGTGTCCTCCTCTCCTGTCACAGCACAGGAACTCTCTGAGCACTCTCCTGCAGGTACAGCAAGAATCCACATTGCTCCAGGAGCTTCCCTCTGCTCTGCTGCCCACATGGAGCTCTGGCAGAAGTTAAGCTGAAGCTTACTGGGGTAAAACTGAGACTTCATGCTTGGCCAGCACAGATCACAGTGCCTGCACTCAATACAATGACATCATTCAGCTGCCTTTTTTTTTTTTCTTTCATGTTTATAACTTGGCATAAATATGTCCAGCTGAGATTTTGAAAGGATTTAGGAAATAAAGTAATATAAGAATAAATAAAGCAGTTACCTTGCTTTCAAAAATTATTAGGATAGTACTGAACTATTAAGAGCACCTAAAAAATATTCCTGAGTTTTACCTAAAGCACAAAATGATAAATATATATTTTTGCAGATAATTACACAGATGTAGGGATTTACAAAAGAAAGCAACAGCTTTCTTTCTGTAAGGTTCAGAGGAACAAATTCTTCACTACTCTCTTCACAACCCACTCAAAGTGAAACTCTGCACATGTTTCAGTTATGGAAAGAACCACTTCCCAGGGCCTCAAGATGACAGAACAGTAATTGCTCCCTTCCCTTTGCTACACAGCCTCAAGTCACTAAACATGTTTAATCGAAGACAAAACTGCTTTATTCAACAGATTTTAAGCAGATCCCTCCAGCACAGCAATTACACCAGGAGAAGTCACATCTGCACCAGAATCTTGACTACAGAGGAGCAATTACTCTTTTATGATCACTTGAAGGTGAAACTCAAGGAGCAAGAGGTCTCCTTAGGAACTTATTTACAGAGCTCAGCCCAGGGCTGGGCAGGTGATAGGCCACTGCAGCACCTGCCCATTCTGCAATCTGCAGAAGACATTCCATGATCAGGGCAATACATATTTATAGAATATTTACACAACCTCTTTAAGTCAGGCTATGATTACACAACCATTCATAATAGCTCAACAGGAGACATCATGAGCTATTGTTTGGATTCACACTAACACAAAGGTTATTTTTAAGACATAAAAACACAAAGCCACTTATGTTTGAGAGACCTACCAGAACAGATCTTATCTATTTTAAGGTTCTCAACCCCTACCCCCACAAAACCCTATGCCACTGGTATACACAAGTCTATGAACCAACAATCAAATTTAACTCAAAATTTTTCATTTCTTTTTGCAGCATTTGCATGGGAATGGAGCAAAGGGAGTTCAGCTGTCACACACAGTTCGAGCTGCTGCTCAAGAATCAAGAGGTTTCTTTTTCCTTTCCAATCCCACTACTGAATTGTGTACTCCATCTCTACCCCACTAAAATAAAATTGTGTATCCCATTGTATTTCCATTCCATTTTGTTACATCGAAGCTGAGAACTTCAATGCAACAAAAATCTCATTACATGAGAATTAACACAGACATTCAAAATTAAACAGGAAGTATACAGAGGGAATGTTTGCTAGATTGCTCAAACTGGAATAGAGAAGGGAGTGGTTTTTAAATTCTTCCCATTAACCCATGCATATCTTTTCTTAAAAAATCACATTACTATTAAGCCTGTCTTTTTTTGACAAACCATTTTTTTTTGCTTGGCTTGTTTAAGTTGATGCACCAGTTAATAAAAGGGTGGTAATAATCATACAGTAAAAATACTGTGCAGGTACCAGCTTTGTTACAAAACTTTAAAGCCCTCAATACCTCAGCTTTCCCACATATGAAATGAGGACGATTACGTCAGAATCTCTTTTATTACTATTAAAAAAAGTGGGGAAGTAGCTAAATGCAGCTGTGTGCAACACCACAGAGTAACAGCCAAGCACTCAGAAAAGCGTAGGGAAGCGGCTGCTCAGCGTTTCACAGAGAAGCAAGGCAGGAACAAAATCCCACAGGGCCACTTGAAGGCACTGAAAGGCAAATCTTACCAGCTGGAACTCCCTGCGCCTGTCATAGGCGTGCTGGATGCCACTGTCTGCCCACAGGGCTCGGATGGCAGGCAGGTAGTCCAAAAAGACCCCGGTCTCCACCATGCCCTGCGCCACGGTGACGGCGCGCGTGTCGAAAGCCATCACCTTGTCACCGTTGCTCTGGTTGGCAGGATCCCCCCAAGGGATGTGCAGCTTCTCTCTGGCATCCACCAGGACTCGCACACCTGCAATGACAAGGAAAGGCACCGTGAGCATTTCTCAGCGTCTCCTGTTTCACCAGCCCACAGAGGAACAATGCACCTACTCTGCACAAAGATCAATAGGAATATCCACCCGTAGTGTCCCAAAAACTGACCCAAGCCACTACACTCACAGGTAATAGAAAACCCCAGATTTGCTACCTCAAGAGCATCATAACATCAACAGGATTATCCCCACAGTGTCAATTCAATTCCTGAAAAAGCCTTATTTTTAATTACTAACTTTATCCAACCTGTACTCTCTTGGCTTGAGTACAAAGTACACTTAAAAGTTTATTTCAAAATATGTTAAACCACCTCATTTCTTGAGGTTCTCTACATTTTTTGTTCTTATCAACTTGGTATCCAGTTCTACCAAATTATACAAAGAATCTCTATCACTGATAGTATTTCTATCACTGCCTTTAATACTTTAAGAAAGACTAAAACATGTATTAAAATCATTGCACTTGCTAAAAGTATGTTTCTTTAGCTCAAGTGCAGAGGAATTGTATCATCTAAAGGCTTTCCTGTACTTCTGTGGCTGTTTTGGTAAATATTCTCTAGAAGAAAAAGAGTATTTTAAACTTCTTTTTAAAGTCCTTGTGAAAAATATAAAAACTCACTGTGCTCATATTGATAAGGTAAACGCAGGAGAATTATTTCTAGTACTAAATTTACTGATGAAAAAATAAAAAGAAAATTTCAGAAAGAATAAGCAACTATAATGTCATAGGAAGAGATACAAGGAAATTAAGATGTGGCAACAAATGACTGTTCAGTAACACACTCATTCAGTGCCAAGGTGTTTTGTCAAGGTTCACCCCCTTTCCATGGTTTTTCTCTCTGTCAAAGGCAGGTATCTGTGAGATCTATCTGTGACTGCAGGAAAACAGCCTCCCAGACAGATGTGCAGTTCCTACGTGTATACCTTCACAGAGTAGCAAGTAGCTTTAACTATAAACTTTAACCTGGCTGAGATACATGCAAACTTTAACCTGGTTGAGATACATGTGTGTGATGTCTCCTGCCTTCTACTGCTATCAGTAGTTTTTCCAGGCTTGATTCATCAGCAGGTTTGTAAAACAACTCTCTTTGAGAATTGCTGGATTTTCAGGGGCTGAGTTTGGCAACTTTGCTGTTTTGAGAAACCACATTAAGATTTTGTCCAACTATTACACAGTCCAAACTGAAAATCCAAGGAGCAATTTAGATAAGAGAGAAAATGAGAGAGGATGACCAATGAAGTCAGGATGACAGCAGTGAAATCAAGCATCCACTACTCCCCTAAACCATGTGTGGAGGTTTTGGCAAAGCATCTGTGAGAGAGGCTCTGCTTGCGGGTTGCAGTTAATTGATGTGTCAGCCGAGTTTCCAACACTACGGCAGCGATTCCTCCACTGCAGTGAAATACTGAAAGCACAGGGCCGGGCTCCTCCTCACGCACTTCCAGGTGCATCTTCCCCCCATCCATTACCGCTCATTACTGCACTCGCATTACCAGGAAATCACAGAATCACGGAATCAATTAGATTGGAAAAGACCTCTGAGATCATTCAGTCCAACCTATGACCGAACACCACCTTGTCAACCAGACTTGCCATTAAGCGCCACGTCCATTCTCAAACACCTCCAGCGACAGCGACTCCACCACCTCCCTAGACAGCCCATTCCCGTGTCCGAAGTGAAGAAATTCTTCCTAATGTCCAGCATAAAGCAGCTTTAACATTGTCCCCTCATCCTATCTCTGACTCCCTGGGAGCAGAGCCCGACCCCACCTGGCTACCACGTCCTTTCAATAGTTGTAGAGAGCGATAAGATCACCCCTGAGCGTCCTGTCCTTCAGGCTGAGCCCCCCCAGCTCCCTCAGCCGCCCCTTGCGCTCCAGCCCCTTCCCCAGCTCCGCTGCCCTTCTCTGGCCTCACTCCAGAGGCAGAACCCGGCACCTCCGGGGCTCAAACCGCTGCTCCCGGGGCCGGGAGCCGGAGCCGCCCCGCGGGCCGCACCCGGGCGGCGCGGTGACAGCCCCGCGGGCGCGGAGCGGCTGCGCGCCGGCCCCGGGGGAGGCTGAGGCGCCGGGACAGTGCGGGAGGAGGCGGCGGCAGCCCCGCGGCTCCCCCGGCCCGCGGGACCCGCCCGAGCCGCCTCTCCCCGCCCCGGCCCGGCCGGGCCCGGCGCTCGCAGGGCGGCCCGTGCCCGCCGCCCTCACCCACCCTTGATCACGTTGCTGTAGATGGTGGCGCGGAACTCCTCGCGGGCCGCGCGGTCCCAGTCCTGCCCGTGGATGATCCGCATCTGCTTGAGGAAGGTGGACTTGCCGCTCTCGCCCGCGCCCAGCAGCAGGATCTTGACGAGGCGCTTCACGTAGGTCTTCTCGCGGTTGAGGCACTTGTCGATCTCCTTGGACTTGCGCTGCTGCTCGGCCTCGCCGCTGGTGAGGAGGCAGCCGGGGAAGCAGCCGGACAGCGCGGAGCGGGACGGCAGGAAATCCGCCATCTTAGCGAGCGCTGCCAGCGAGGGGAGCGCCCGCCCGCCCGCCGCCCAGCGCCGCGCGCGCCCCGCACCGCGCCTGCGCGCCCCGCCACGCCCGGCGCGTGACGGGAGCGTGCCCCGCCCACAGCGCCGACTCCGCCCCCTCCCCGGCCCCTCACAGGAAATGGCGGGAGCGGAGGGCGGCGGGTCGGTGACAGGGACCCTGGGAGTCACCGAGCCGGGACTCCCGGCCCTGCACACCCCACCCCATCCCTCAGGAGGTGCCTCACAGCCTTGTCCGAACGCTCCTTGATGTCTGGCGGGCAGGGCGCTTTTTAACCAGACTGATGATTTACTTGTAATACTCTGCCTTTTCCTCAAGAAATGCCCCGAGCTGCTTTGAACTTGAGCTTGAAATTGGGATTTTTCAGCACCGTTTGGAGGACATCCAGGTTGTGCCTTTCTGGGGCGTTTCTGAATCCTTTCTGTACCCCTGTGGCTGCTCACCAGGAAACAGTGAAAGAACATTCAGGAACAGGGTGCTGCTGTGTAATGGAGTTAAAGGTTTATAGATGCACATGATTATAATTTTAACGTGCTTTGTAATGGGAAATAAAGTTAAGGTGGAGAATGACTTCATGGAGTCATAAAGGTTTGGAAGAGACCTTTAAGACCAAATCCAGCCATCCACCCAGCATCCACAAACCCACACCACCCACCCAGCATCAGGTCCAGATGTTTCTCAAACACCTTCAGGGATGGTGACTCCACCACCTTCCTGGGCAGCCTCTTCCAATGCCAGACCACCCTAACAGTAATTTTTTTTTTCCCTAATCTAATCTGGATCCCCCATATCTCATCTTGAGGCCGTGTCCACTGGTCCTCTCACTATAGACAGGCAGAAGAAACTAAATCATAGAAAGACCGAATCAATTAGGTTGGAAAAGATCTCTCAGATCTTCCAGCCCAATCTGTGACTAATCACCTTTGTCAACTGGACCATGGCATCAATTGCCACATCCAGGCTTTCCTTGAGCACCTCCAGAGTGTCTCCACCACATCTCTGGGCAGTCCATTCCAATGTCTAATTACCTTTCTATGAAGAAATTTTCCATAATATCCAACCCCAACCTCCCCTGGAGCAGCTCGAGGTTGTTCCCTCGTGTCCTGTCCCTTGTTCCCTGGAGCAGAGCCTGACCCCCAGCTGGCTGCACCCTCCTCTCTGGGGTTATAGAGTGAGAAGGTCCCTCCTGAACCTTCTTTTCTCCAGGCTGAGCCCCCAGAGTTCCCTCAGCAGCTCCTGGTGCTCCAGCCCCTTCCCAGCTCCATTCCCTTCTCCAGACACGCTCCAGCCCTTGATCTTCTTCCTGAACTGAGGGGCCCAGAACTGGACACAGGAACTGACACTCCTGTCCCCGTCCCTGTCCTTGTCCCTGTCCCTGGCTTCTCATGGGTATGTTCAGGAGACAAGACTGAGAGGAGATCTCATTAATGCATATAAATATCTCCAAGGTGAATGCCAAGATGAAGGTCCCAGACTCTTCAGTGGTACCCAGTGACAGGATGAGGAGCAATGACCATAAACTAAAACATGAGAAGTTCCACCTCACCATGAGGAAGAACTTTCCATGGAGTGGGCAGAGCCTTGGAACAGCTGCCCAGGGAGATTGTGGAGTTTCCCTCTCTGGAGACATTCCAAACACACCTGGACCTGTTCCTGGATGACTCTGCTCAGGCAGGGGGGTCGGACTGGATAATTTTGGGAGGTCCCTTCCAATTTTCACCAATCTGGATTCCATGCAGACGAGCCCCAGGCTCAGCTGGCCCGTGGCTGCGGGGAAGCTGCAGGGCAGGCGGCCCGGGGAGGTCAGCCCTGGGTCAGGGGGGCAGGATGGTGCTTGCCAGCTAAGCAGGTTTTGTCCTGGCTGCAGAAAGAGACTCGTTTTGTTAAAACACTTGGAAAAATCGGCACGTCCTTCCTCTCTGCCGGGCTGAGAAGAGCTCCCCGGTGCTGCAGGGCTGAGCAAACAGCCTGGGGCCGAGCTCTCCCAGGCACAGTGAGCTGAAGAGAGTGGGACTCTTTATCTGACACCGGGTTAAAAGGAGCAAAGACTTATTTTCAATGGTAACCCTTTATGTAAGGGGTAGAACAACTCATGGGCTGAGGGACCTGACCAAGGACTGAAAATCCCACACTTCATTCAACCCAGCCCTAAGCACAGATGTTCTTTTAGTCATTTGCTTAATAAATTAGCTACCATCAGTTACACCATCACAGTGCAGCATAAAGCTCCTCTGGTGCAGCTTAACACTGTCCCCTCATCCTATCTCTGGTTCTGGTTTCAAAGACTGCATTAAACACTTGTGTCTCCTTACATCTCTAGTCTTTATCTGCTGAGTTTTCCTCTCAGTTTTTTTTTTCTGCTTTTTTCCCCAACATTAATCATAACTTAGAAAAAGGAAGAAATAAATGTGAAAACTGTGAGGTGAGTTTAGAACAAAGAAATGTCACTTGGCCCCAACTGGAAGGACCTTCAAAATCTGAAATGGGTATCAGTGTTCTGAAATGGGTAGCAGTGTTCTGAAATGGGTAGCAGTGTTCTCACCTTAGGTTGGTCCCACACAGTGGTAAACTGTGTGGGAATTATTTCACAGGGCCTTACCAGAAATAAAAAAAAAAAAAAAAAAAGAAAAGAATTTCTTGTAGGAGAACAGGATGTGGTGTAAAATTAATATAAAATTAATACAAGGAGCACATCCTGGTGTTCTTGGTACAGATGTGGAAGCCAATCATTCCTGAGCTCTGGTCTCATTTTTAAAATGAAGTTTTAAGATATTTGACTCAACCCTCATCTCACCTCCCTAGCTGCAAAGGACTCCTGAGTTTCTACAATCGAGTCAGTTAAGTGGGGAGTCCTTGACCTCCCTTTTGCTCTCCCCTTCACTGGGGAGCTTTCCAAAGCTCCATTTCTGTGTGCTGGCCCAGCAGCCTGGATCTCTCTCAGCGTGCTGCCCTGCCCAGGGGCTGTTCCTGCCCTATGGAAGGGCTGTTCCTGCCCTGTGCAGGGGCTGTTCCTGCCCTGCCCAGGGGCTGTTCCTGCCCTATGGAAGGGCTGTTCCTGTCCTGTGCAGGGGCTGTTCCTGCCCTGCCCAGGGGCTGTTCCTGCCCTGTGCAAGGGCTGTTCCTGCCCTGCAGAGGGGCTGTTCCTGTCCTGTGCAGGGGCTGTTCCTGCCCTGTGCAAGGGCTGTTCCTGCCCTGCCCAGGGGCTGTTCCTGCCCTATGGAAGGGCTGTTCCTGCCCTATGGAAGGGCTGTTCCTGCCCTGCCCAGGGGCTGTTCCTGCCCTATGGAAGGGCTGTTCCTGCCCTGCCCAGGGGCTGTTCCTGCCCTATGGAAGGGCTGTTCCTGCCCTATGGAAGGGGCTGTTCCTGCCCTGCCCAGGGGCTGTTCCTGCCCTATGGAAGGGCTGTTCCTGCCCTATGGAAGGGCTGTTCCTGCCCTGCCCAGGGGCTGTTCCTGCCCTATGGAGGGGCTGTTCCTGTCCTGTGCAGGGGCTGTTCCTGCTCTGCCCAGGGGCTGTTCCTGCCCTATGGAAGGGGCTGTTCCTGCCCTGCCCAGGGGCTGTTCCTGCCCTATGGAAGGGCTGTTCCTGCCCTGCCCAGGGGCTGTTCCTGCCCTATGGAAGGGCTGTTCCTGCCCTGCCCAGGGGCTGTTCCTGCCCTATGGAAGGGCTGTTCCTGCCCTGCGCAGGGGCTGTTCCTGCCCTATGGAAGGGGCTGTTCCTGCCCTGCAGAGGGGCTGTTCCTGCCCTATGGAAGGGCTGTTCCTGTCCTGCAGAGGGGCTGTTCCTGCCCTGCAGAGGGGCTGTTCCTGCCCTATGGAAGGGCTGTTCCTGCCCTATGGAAGGGGCTGTTCCTGCCCTGCAGAGGGGCTGTTCCTGCCCTATGGAAGGGCTGTTCCTGCCCTGTACAGGGGCTGTTCCTGCCCTGCCCAAGGGCTGTTCCTGCCCTGCATGTCGGTGTTTCCTGGAGAGGCTCAGCACCACCCAGCTCAGCTGTGAGGCCAGCTGCATCCTCCCACCCCACAGCCAGGCTTCAGCTCTGAGGCAGGGTGCATAAGGTCTTTCTCTGCTTGGCTTTTTTCCTTCCTCTTCGCCACTGCTTTCCTCGGCTTTCCTGGAAAGCCCGGGAATGACGGGAAACAAATGCTGCCCGTTTGTGCTCGCAGCTCTTCCCATGAGGCTGCTGAGGAAACTTCTCATTTTGAGTGCTTGTGCCCCACCAGGCAGGACAATGGACTCTGGAGATATTCCTTTAACCATTGCCGTGCTGGCAGAGCTGAGCTTAAGTCACGCCTCTCTGTATGCCACAGTTCACACATTTTTATTTTTATTTTTGGCAAACTGCTTTGAAATCTTCCTGGAAGGAACTGCGTGCTAAAACGGAGCCCCCACTTGTCACTTGCTTCACTTACGTTACCCCTTCCTTCCCCTCAGGGCGTCCCCAGCTTCCTTACATAGAAAGGTGGCTTACTCACCACATGCCTTTTGTGTTGGATGATTCAACTTTCTGATGTGTGAAAAAGGGGCAACCACGTAGGAAATGTGACCTTTTAAAGACAAGGGGGGATTCCCTCGGCAGTGCTTTCCACAAGAGAAACTCTGGAGAATTGAGAGTGGATCTGCTGAGAACAATCACAGCTTGTGGGGTTGCACAAGGAGACCAGAGGGGTAAAATGCAGCTTTCAGCAGACTTTCCCCAGCCTGGACACGCTCTGTGTGAGAGGCTGGCAGGGATCTGTGGGCTCTGGGGAGCCCATGGACACTCAGCATTGATGTGATTGATGTGATTGATGTGATGTGATGTTTGTATTTCCACTACAGCACCATTCACCCTCTGTGTGGGGTAGAACACCCGTGGAAACTTGCAGCTACAGAAATACCACTGCATTTACCATGCAAAACAGGAGGTTGAGGGGACTACCCAGGGAATGTCTTTCTGTGTTATCTGGGGGGCAGAAAGGCCAGGGTGAATGTGGGGACTCAGAAATCTGG